AAATCCCTGAAACAGATTCTACCTTTTCCAGGTCACAGCTATATGGAACTCCGAACAATTACACATAGCATCAGTCTCTCCCACACCAGAATATACACTTTGATAATTATATTCCCATAGAAATAACAGCTCCCTATCTCTACTATCAATTGCTGTGAAAGCCAGCGTTGCTTCTAAAAGTATGCCACACTTTGAAAACGTGTGATTATGGAATAGTAGTACTCACTCCACAGTTAAAGTTGCAACTGAGATTCCATTAGAAAACCAGTTTGGCAGAGAGTGGATGCTTATGGAAGTCACAAAGAAGTCATAGCAGCTTCAAAATGGTAGGTTAAGTCTGTGGCTAAGGCAGAATTTTTCTGCAACATTTGAAATGAATTATACGTGACATTCCGAAGTATGTCCCTCTAAAAGTAGCGAGTGTTGTTAAACATGGTTCCAAAACTCTTCTAATTTTTTGGGCCCTTTGTAGCAAACCACCAGAGAGATGGAGACAGAAAAACCATCCTTTACTGGACTATCCTAGTTGAGATATAATACCCAGGACCAAGATGAAGTTGATTTGTGTAAAATTACAAGTTATTAATGTTTTCTTTAATGGCATTGCTGAGGAATGTTGGTACAAGTTCATTAAGAAAAATAGTACTTCTCTAGCCCCTTTCTTGCAGACACAGACATTCAGTGTGTTACCAGTTACTAGGGAAGTTTATCAATGGAAAAATTAACTTTTTCCAGCAAAAATCTTATTTTATTGGGTTTCAATGCTGTAACTTGTAAATGGGCCAAGAACATGAAGTAGAATGGCTTAGAGTAGCAGTTGTTAAGGAGTTGTTAGCAGCTGTCTTTGGGGAAAGGGAGAGGGAGGCCACAATCCTGTAAGACTTCTGTTCCCTTCCACAGCCTGCTGTTGCAGTACATTTCAGTGTTGTTGGAGCCATGTTGGTCCCAGGGTTTTAGAGAGAAAAGGTGGGTGAGGTAATATCTTTCATTGGACCAACATCTGTTTGTGAGAGAGACAAGCTTTTGCACTTGCACAGAGCTCTTCTTCAGGTCTGGAAAATGTACTCAGTACGTCACAGCTAAATTTCTGGCCTTCAAACAACCCAACTTTGCCAAGCTCATCAGCAGAAGCAAGCTCCCCACAGACCAGGACACGCCAACTCAAAGCGGCACCAGACCCTGCCAGAACAACAGATGCAAAACACATTTCAAGATCCAGGGGTTGTACACATGCCTATCACATGTGGTGAGCCTCATCCAGTGCATCAAATGCCCTCAATAACAACTAGGTGGGTGAAACCAGGAAATCACTACACTCTCATATGAACTCACACAGAAAAATGATAAAAGTCAGTAACATCATATTATCCATGGGCAAATACTTTTCAAAAAGTGGCCACTCCATGTCTGATCTCTAGGTCCTCATCCTCAAAGGAACCCTGCACAACACCTTCAAAAGACTGAGCCTGGGAGCTTAAATTCATAACTTTACTGGACTCTAAAAATCATGGATTTAATACAGATACTGGATTTATGTCTTATTACAACAATCTTTAACCCACTATCCCCCCTCCCCTTTTGGTACTATGTCTGCATATGGGTGAACTGGCCACTTTACCTTGTATGGTCTCTTACAATACGTGTTAACCACTTATGCTAAATAATCCGTTCCATATTGTATTTAGCTGTGACACTGAGGGTCTGTCTACACTACAAAATTATGTCGGCCTAAGTTATGGCAATGTACAGCCGCCACAGTAATTAAATCGCTTTTACGTGTCCACATTACGCTCCTTGTGTCCTCATTAGGAGCACGTGCACCGATTTAATTGTCAGCATGGGGCATGTGGGATGGCTTCTGAAAGCCAGTAACAGTCAATGTAAGCAATGCAGTGTCTACACTGACACTGCATCAACCTAACTACATTGACCTACCTAAGTGCTACACCTCTCGCAGAGGTGGAGTTAAGTCGGTGTAGCAGGCGAGTTACATCAGCAAGAGCAACATTTGAGTGTAGATGCTTACAGAATTAGATTGATGTAAGCTGCCTTGCATCAACATAACTCTCTAGTGTAGACCAGGGCTGAGTACTTTTACCAGACCTGAAGAAGAGCTTGTCTCTTTCACCAGCAGAAGTTGGTCCAATACAATATATTACATCACCCATCTTCTCTCTCTAAATTTGCTGAGTCATTTGCAACCAGTCCTTTCTAAAGCTAGAAATGGTCCATAAACCACTGCACTGATTCCTGAGGCACATCCCATGAAGCCGTGCAAAGGACTCTGCGCATTTGCAGAGGACTCATTACAAGTGTCTTAGGCTGGGTCGCCACTAAAATATTTTGCCGGTATAGTGACGTTGGTCAGAGGTGTAATTTTTTAATGACATTTCTATACTGGCAACAGCCCTAGTGTAGATTACTCAGTTATACTGACAAAAAAGTGCTTTTGTGGTAGAGCTTATACCGATCTACTGGCAAAACCACTTATTTGCTGGTGTAAACTGCATCTACACTAGAAGGGTTTGCTGTGGATAGTTATACCAGCAAACCTTTTCTAGTGTAGACTGAGTCTTAGTATGGGTATCACACAGCATCAGGCAGACTGAGAGAGGAGAAAGACAGCATTAGACGGGAGAGAGAGGTGGAGAGTCTCTTCACTTCAAAACTCCATATAAACCATAAGAAAGGACTTCTTTCCTACCTGGCACATTGTCCCTTCTGAACACTTCTGCTAATGCTGGTATTATCGTGGCCCCTTTCAGTCCATCAACTTGCCTTTTACCTACCTCCTTTCACTCAGCTTTATTGACTTTCTTCAAAGCTTTGATAGCGAACAATAGTGATTGGCCCATGCAGGTGTTGACTGTTCTGCAGGGTCCTTGAGGGAACTGTACTTTTCTATCCTACAATGGAGTTTGTCTAAATGATCAGAAGTACATATTTGCCTAGGACTATGGCAACTTGCAGTGCAATTACTGGCAGCAAACAGGTCTTTTCAGTCTAATTCCTCTGTCAAACAGGAGGACGTGCTCTGACTGGTGATTCATTATTACCTGGGATATTTTGGTTCTGATAATTGCTGGGTGCTCTTTCAGTTCATTATCTCACCTCTACATCTGCCTACAGCATAGATCAAGATGATCTTAAAGAGTACTCTCATTATGGTTATCTCTTCCCAACAGACAACAGTGCATCTGCTACATGCTGTAGTTAATTATAATAATATAACATCTCTACATTTATATAGCATGTTTACTCTTCAAGCACTTCACACACTATATATGTCTAGCACCGCTGAAATGGAATTGAGTCCGAGGTGTGGGGCAGCAGCCAGGCAGAACACTGAGGGGAGTGGAAGTTTTAGCCAAGTACATGAGGCAAAGTCCTAATTGGCCACAAAGATTCCTGTGTGGAAATCTAGTTTTCCAAGACCCCAATTAAGAGCAGAAGCAGCAAACTGTAGCTCCCTAGGGGAGAAAGGAGGTGAACTCTGCAGAGATTCAACCACCCTGTGAATAAGGGCAGAGTGTTTTCCAGAGGGGAAAGAGTACCCCATACTGTTTGACAGAGACCGTTCAGATAGGCTATGAATCAGCACTGTCTTGCTGGGAAGGCAGTCGCAGATAGCTCTCAGCCCCGTGGATTTTGAAGGGGGCATAGGATGGAAAGCAGACAGCCTTCATTGCCTATATAAATTCACCTCCACTGTTTAAAATCTAATCATCAGTCTTCAAAGTAAAGTCTAATGTAAAACTTTGGATCTGGATACCAGTGCAGAGGGATATCCTAGGATGACAAAAGCAGAGTCCATTTTGCTCACTGATGTATTTAGTGCCTAGATGCTATGGTGACCAGCACGTATATAGATTGATCTGATAGACAAGCCATAAGATGTTCTGGCTATTGGCATGATCTGGACAAAGGATTCTGGGACACTGATATACTTTATCACTGGAGAGAGAGAGGGAGTGGGAGGAATCCCCCTAGCTGACTCCAGGTGGGTGAGGAGGCATTAGGGATAGTGATTCTGTGGGGAGTATGTTCTGCGAGAAGTTAGATATGTCATTGCATTTCAGTAGATGATATAGAGATACTTATTGAAATTACATTTAGACAAGTCCATCAATCCATTTATTAACGTGCCCACTGTTCCTGTTTCAAGGGGGATGAAACACTGAAAGTATTGGTGAGCAACAATACTTGATCTGTATTCACAGCAGTTTGATTAAAAGTTGGAAAATAATTTGTGAACCCTGGAGGTCCCATCTAACCCTTGTGCATTTTTTTAAAAGCACTTTTACCTTTAGACTATAACCTGTAATATGGAAATTGGGTAGATGAGTGGAGTGGGTTACATCCCTATCAGCAGAAGGTCTCTGCAAGGACAGCCTAAATGTGGATCTTGACTGATACACATAGGGCCAGTTCCTCAGCACCTGCAAATTGGCATAGCTTCATTGACTTCAATGAAGATATGCCAGTTTACACAAGCTTAGGAGCTGGTCTTTAGTGTGATCTAATGAAGAATGATTGAAGGGATTGGATCAGGCTAAGATTTGGTTTATAGGGGCAGTTTGATCCCGTCACCTTGATGCCCAGTGTGGGAGTTTGCCTCTGTGAGGAGCATCATAAACTCTGAAAAAGCCAATCAGACAAACTAAAAAAAGCAGCTAGACCTACAGTACTTTTGCATGTGCTGTTCCAAGCCAAACAATCCGGTGACTGCAAGGCCCCAGGACAGCCAATCAGGCTGCTGGAGACATGATCATTATTCACTGATTAAAAGTTAAAAATCAAATAAGTAAATTAAGCTTCAGCCAGTCAGAAACTGGCTTATACTGAAAAGTCTAATGTGCTTTGCTTTCATGGGTAAACCAGATTTCTGATTGGCTGAAGCACACAATATGTCTTGTCTCTGCACTAGGTGAAATGCTACCATTTGGTCATGATCCAAGTGCATACAGTGATTCATTGGCCTTCTTCGTTGTGTGTTTCAGATGGAAAGGACCATCCAGATGCCAGCTGGGAAGGCTCCAGTCCTGTACTGCAGGCCATAAGAGTGAGGACCAATATCTTGAAAGATGGCTTCCCCAGTTCCACTGCTGAGACCCTCAAGCTAGCACAACCCATATGAAGAAGAACGTGTCTCAGCTGGAGAGAAGCATGACACAGATATTTTGCCAAATGTGATTTCTTTAAATTTCTATGAAGCAGTTTGTGGAATTGCTTCTTCTTTTACCTCTGAACAGGGGGACTTTGAATGTGGTTCTTGTTCTTTGTACATGAGTAGCCATATTATATTTAGTGATATAAAAATTCTGTGTTAGTTCTGGTTAATGTAGGTGACATGCTGAAGAAAGATGCCAGATTGGTGCTCTAAAATAGGTACAGCTCAGGCTGTGGCAGCACTTGCATCCCCATCTTACTACGGCCTTGCCAATGGGCTTCCTGACCTGGAAGACCCACTTCCAAGAGTGAGAGGAGAATTCAGTTAGTCCTAAAATGTCAGTTCAAAATCTCCAGGGAAATGTGGAACCCACCAGTTGGCTTGACTAAAGTACAGCAGTTCAGTGGTTCTTGTGTCTATGATGTACTTTAGAATAATCTTAGCCTGTTGTGTATCACAGTGAAATCTAATCGTAGGCTTATGGCAATTCAGGGTTGAGGGAGAAAATGTAGCAATGATTGCAGTCTCATCCGTCTCGTGGCTGAATTCTAGAAGATTAGTGTGTATGTCCACTCTTCAGCTTTTTCCATCTTCAAAACATTCACTAATCCTCACAACACCACTGCAAGGAAGGAAAGTAATTGTTACCCATTTTACAGGTGGAAAAACAGAATCAGAAAACTTGACCTGTTCAAGATCACACCTGGTCTACACCTAAAATTTAGGTCGACCTAGCTACAGCACTCAGGGAAGTAAAAACTTTTGGAGTCTGTGCGACATGGTTAGAGCAATCTAACCTGCACTGTAGACAGAGCAGTTGGTTGATGGAAGAATTCTTCCATTGACCTAGCTACCTCCTCTTGGAGAGATGGATTTATTACAGCAATGGTGAAAGCCCTTCTGTCAATGTAGGAAGTGTTTTCACTACAGCGGCACAGCTGCGGCATTGTAACTGTGGTGCTGCACCGTAGACATGGTCTGAGCTGGGATTACAAGTTCCTGGCTCCTAATTCTCTGCAAGCACAAACCGTGCCTATCTCTCCCCAACTAGGGAGGTCACTCATCTGATTTTCACCCAGACAGCCCACTTTTGGGGTGGTTTGTCCCCTACTGGGACAAAAAACAGCCGTGATATTGTCTGGTATTGGATGGGGGCCACCATTTTTCAGAGTGCTCTGCTTTGCTCCCTCTGGCATGACATTGAACATACCATGCATTGATCAAAAAGAGGAAACCAAGTGATGAAATGCAAAATGAGGAATCCAGAAAAATGCTACATGGATGAAGAGAGGTTTTCCCTTTAGGGCCATTCCACTCCAGCCAACGTTGCTAGTGAGTGAAAGTCATTATCATTTGATGGCTGTTGGGTGCTCTTTGTGAAATGAGCCAATAGCAGAGGCGGATTAAGGTCTCCTGGGGCCCTAGGCCAGAGCAAGTGACGGGGGTGGGGGTCTGATGCCGGAACTGTGGCCTTCCCCTACCCCTTCCTCCTGCTGCTCCATCCCTTCCGCCTGCACCCCCGCCCATGGCCCTACCCTATTCTGCCCCTTCCCCATGGCCCTGCCCCATTCTACCCACAGCCCTGCCCCACTCCACCCCATGAACCCTACTCCCATTCCACCTCTTCCTCCGCAGCCCTGTCCCCCACTCGCTTCTTTCCGCCACCCCCCGCTGCTGCCCCGAGGCCAGAGAAGCTCTGGCTGCAGCGGACAGCGAGAGCTCCTCCATCCCCAGGGCCGCAGTGGGGACCCCTAGGCCCGGCCCCATAGGCCTGTGCGGTAATCCTCCACTGCCAATAGCCTCAACCCAGTTCCTAGTGGACAATTGCTCGCATCTCAAAAACGCCATGACATGTGTCACTTATTGACACTCATGTTGGCAGTCTCAGCAGAGGCTAAGCATGGGATGGGGCACAGAAAATAATCTTCCTTCTTACTGAGTAAGTTGGGAGAGCAACCTGGAAATGAGTGCTCTGCATACACACACACACTCTCTCACACACTCCTCTCTCTGGAAGTAGCCGTTGCTACAGTTGCCAAGCGAGTTATTCCATTTCAATAGGCCACTTCATAAAATTTCCAAAATGCTTCTTGGGGAAGAGAAACTCCCTGGCTGTTGTGTTACTGTTTGGTACTTTGAGGAGGCTTTTTTATTTTTAAACCAAAGGAGAGATTTTCAGCTTGACAATGTTGTCTGCCACGACCGCTTTTTAATAAGGTCCTGCTGGGCTAGTATGTACCCATTTCACCTGAGTAGCTTATAAATGTTTGGTAGCGCATTCAGACGCAGAAGTGTTTTCTGCTCTTACCGGAGGCGGTGTTAGCCCATGGGGGGCCCTAAGCAGGAATATTCCCCCCCACACACACACACAACACATAATAAAAAGCGAATGGGGCCCCCCCTTGAGCTGCTCAGGGTCCTAAGCAATTGCTTAGTCTGCTTATGTCTAGCGCTGGCTCTGGCTCTTACAGTCACATGCCTGAGTCCAGGACCTTTCAGAACTACAAAAGGCTGAAGGGCAGGGAAAATTCCATCGAGAAGCATTCAGGTCGCCAAGAAACAGCCAGGGTCTGTTTAGGCTTAAAATGCTTTGTTGTTTTTGGGGGGAGGTAGAAGAGGGGAGTACATATTTTTTAAATGTTGAAATGCAAGAATTGTTTAGCTGATTTGTCCTGTATTATAGGAACATTATGATTTGGGGGTGGGGCACTAAGCTTTTTAATATATCTAAGGAGCTAGAGTTTTTTATGAACATTACTGTATGCAGTGATGTTGTAGTTGTGTTGTTCACAGGCTCTTAGCGAGACAAGGGGTGTGAATAAAAGATATTACTTCACCCACCTTGTCTCTCTAACATCGCTTCCCCTTCTGCGATGTGATGGCCTCAGCACACCCTGCATAACAGCCCCTGCACTCCTTGTTCATCCCCTGGGAAGCACAGAGACCTGCTGCCTACTGCTCCCCCTTGGGATTAAGATGACAAAAATGAATGGTGGGGAGCCATGGTCAGCTAGATAGTCTATCCCTATCTGCACTGGCTCCTAGGGTGCACCAGTGAGAGCAATCTGAAGCACAATCTCGCCAGTGTTTCTGCTGGGCCTGGTCAGTTCTGCACCACCACCGCACAGACAGAGCTGTGGCATAAATGTCACAACCAAGCCCATATTGCCAGAGAAGCCTGCTTTTGCAAGGAAATTAACCAGATGAACCAATAAGTCTCTTCTGTTCCTACTCCTGTGATTCCATGGCCCTGCAAACACATGCACTCAATTCCTGCTGCATCCCATGCTATGAATCTTGCAACTAGACTGCTGCAGCCATTCTCTTTCTCCTCTCTAAGGACAATAGTAAAATCCACCAGCCACTTCCTTAACTAATTGGGTCAGGTTCTCTCTAAGAAATTAATTGACAGTTGAACAGATTTATTTCCACTATAGGTGAGCAAAAAAAGAGTATCAACATGATTAATTGCGTGAAAGGTTTGTAGTTCAAAAGGCCTGAACTGATTTCTTTTCTCTTTTCCTCCCCTATCCAAACTGCTCTGTAATCAGATATGCAAAAGGGCACATACTGAGTTAAAGTGACTTTTTGAAGGCTTCTCACACTGTACAAACAACTTCTGAGGCCAGTCCGGAGCCAAACCAGCACGTATCAGTTCATTCCAGCATTTGTCGAGGAAAGAGAGTGAGAGAAAATTAGATCACTCAAGGACAGCTTCCTCCTGTTTCTTCTATGTCCCACTACGCCCCCCAGGCCTATGACCTGCTAATGTCCTTTTCCTCTTTGTGACGTCATGCCCCAGTTAAGATAATGGCCTGTTTGTACATTTCCATAGCACCTTCCACTGTAAAGGATCCAAAGTGCTTTGAAAATTCTTTTCACAGGGATCACTTCGTCCATCACTGAAATGTAGCCAGGTCTGAGGTGGAACATGGCAGCCACTTAACAGTGCCTAGCAACGCTACACAGCTGTTGAAGACAAGAAGGGAAGATGTCTATATACAAATGCAGCTACAGGGACAATTTTACATAGGAAGGATATAAATAGCAGAGCTGAAATTTGGCCAGGATGCTGAGATTAACAAACCAACTCTTGCTGGTAATGCACTGGGCTCTGTAATAACCACAACTAGTGAGTGCCTCTGATTTTCATCTCATCTGAATGACATCAGAATAGTGCCCCCTATTAATGTGCTTGGGCATTGCTTCAACACAGATTCAAAAGGAAGCGTGCCTGACTCTGCTGTACCACCTAGCTACTGCCCAACGCCAACAGCAGCAGACAGGCTCATAGCCCAAAAGGGATATGGCATGGATTGCATCGCACCTTTCACAGTAAAATAATCCACCTCACACATGCATTCCAGGAGCCTGGCTGCTCAGCTGGCCCGTAACTAGGGGGCTGCACACTTTGTGACTTTGATAGGCCAAGCGCATTGCACACAATGAGGACTCCTTACACCGCTCCATTACCTCCCACAAGCTCGCTGTGTGCCACCCTCCCCCTATATTTCAGGAATTCCCTCCCTGCAACCCCCACCACCCCTCACCAGTGGCAGATTTACCGTGAAACAAACCATGCTGTGGCACAGGGCCCCCAACAACAGGGCGCCCCAAAGTGCAGGACAAATCTGACAAATGACTGAATTTAATAAGCACTGCAAGTTGTGAAGCAGTCCAGGCTTTCTGCATTCTGCGAACTGTGCTCCAAACTTGTTTTTTTTAAATAGTCTAGCAAAGAATTTTGCTTTGCCATTTTTTCACTGTCTCGGCAATAACATAGCAGCAACTAAGGGAAATTGTCATTTGCCAATCAAAAGTCTGTCTGCTTGACCAGTTAGCCAATTGAACAAAAGCACCCTCCCCCGCACATTGCAACAATGCTTGTGATTTGTCACTAGTATGTAATTGGTTAAAAATCCCGTTTTTAGAGAGCCTGATAAAAATGCAGGATTAACTGCGTTAAACCTAATTGGGTGATCCATGGCCCACCCAGGCCCACCCATGGCTACACCCCTGCTCTTTCAGATATTTTTTAATCTGCCTAAACTCCAGGTCAGTTTTTTAGCAATAATGAAGTAACACTATGAGCCGGGCAGTCAAAAACGCAAAAAAATGAAGGCGAGGCAAGAAGCCGAAGCTAAGCAAA